TGCTGTTATTCTGGCTGCATTTTTTGACGTGACTGTAAATTAGCCGTAGTTGGCTAGCAAGCAAAGGATAAGAACGTTGCCAGCCAGTATGGCAATGGAACATTTAGAAAGAACGACTGGGTCACGTCTCTAGCAACCAAACCGATAGAATGAACGACCAGCTGGCTTTGGTAGCAAGCCTAGATTTTTGTCGGGACTATATCATGAAATATAATAAATAAATTCATCAAAATAACGTTTTTAATGAAAATATGTCAATCATTATTTGAATATGTTGGTAACCCGTTGTATAAAAGTGATAATGCCCTCGAAGCCGGTGTATGGAGGATATATTGGCACAGTTTGCCGGCTATCGACTTCATCTCGGGCCTAACAACACCCGTGCCAATATATCCTCCAAACACCGGCTTCTCGGGCATTATCACTTAAATATCGAACTAATCGAACGAACGACTCAAGCAACCAAAAGATGAGAAAGTATGAATTTACTTATATAAAAGAAAATATAAACAAATAAAATGTTATTTCTACCTGTAAATGTGTGCTTAAGATGAAATCATACAGAGAGACGCTGTCAACATCGTCAAAAGTTGCTCTTGAGAGTAGAGAGCGTCAGTTCACATACACTGCATAACGTATGCCAACTTAATTGTCATGAGAATTGATAATAAACAGTTTTATACCAAGGCATTGTTGAATACTCATTTTTGATTGGCTTGAAGGGCATTCTAGAGCAGTGTTTCCCAACCCTGGTCCTCCAGTACCTCCAACAGTACACATTTTTGTTGTAGTCCTGGACAGACACACCTCATTCAACTCATTGAGGGCTTGATGATTAGTTGACAAGTTGAATCAGGTGTGCTTGTCCAGGGTCACAATAAAAATGTGTACTGTTTGATACTCGAGGACCAGGGTTGGGAAACACTGTTCTAGAGTGTGCATTATTTCCCTGCACAGATAACGAAGGGGAGGGCATCAAGGCATTCAAAATGGCTACAGGGATGGATGTGCAGGAGTCAGGGCTTTGGGTCACGGGGTCTGGGATCCTGGGTGCTTCACCGGATGGTCTGGTGGGCACCACAGCAGTGGTGGAGGTCAAGTGTCCCAATGGTGCAAGGGACCTTACCATTGAACAGGCAGTGAAGTCGAAGGATTTCTATATCAAGGAGGGAGGGTCTTACCGCCTCCGTGAAGACCATCCTTACTGGCACCAGGTCCAAGGTCAGCTCCACATCACTGGAAGGGACACCTGCTTCTTCGTTGTGTGAACCACCAAAGCCTCCATCCCCATCCAGCATGACGACCTCTGACAGACTCATTGCTTCTCCTGTCAGTACCTGTTTTCAGGGAAGCCAATGGTCCAAAGATATTCCACATAGTGCATACACACACAATAGGCTCCCAGAATAGGTTATTTTACATACACGTTTTGTTCAAGGCAACCAACTAAAGTAACAAAGTTAACTTTATCATGGGCACAGTGGGAATTTATATCTGTGATCAAGTTATTTCTTACCCCCTGTGTTTTACTTGCTGAAGGCCCCAGTCATCCCTGCCTTGTTGAAAAACAAGTGAACAATGAATAAAGATCATACACAAACAATAGGCTCCTAAAATATGTTATATTACATTAAAGATTGCTCAAAGCAGCCAACTAAAGTAATGTATACTGAACAAAAATATAAATGCAACATGTAAATTGTTGGTTCCATGTTTCATAAGCTGAAATAAAAGATCCCAGAAATGTTCCATAATTTTGGGCACAAATTTGTTTACATTCCTGTTAGTGAGCATTTCTCCTTTGCCAAGATAATCCATTACACAGTAGTTATGCTGATGTGTTGTGCACTGAAGTCCACAATCGAAGGGAAAAGGTGAGAGGAGGAGAGCGCAAGAAGAAATTATACAACAATCTGGCTGCTGTGAAAGTGAACTGCTTTTGCGTGTGATCAGTGGTGTATTCATTCTGCCGATTCTATTGAAAAACATTTCTTAAATGTAAGCAAACGGAACGAAACGGGGATAAACATACCTGTTTGCAACTGTTGGACTAATTATTACTCCCTAGATCAGCTAGATGCAGGCAAGATTGTGCAAGGCGGTATTGAACGTGTCAATGTCTGTCACCTAGATTACTCTAATTTCGCTCGACCTGTGCGCCTACATTGTAAACTTTAATTCATAGGCTAGGTTGTAGCAACCTCATGATGGGTATAGGGAAGATTTTAGTATCATGTAGTAAGTAGCCTAAACCTAAACCTGGGTGAATGGAATACGAATGACAGTCATCCAATATGCTGTAATAGAAATAAGGCCATGCTCAGAAAAAAGATAATCGTCCTCATCTTAAACACCACCAACCGCCACTGATTTGGCAGTACGTCGAAACGGCCTCACAACTGCAGACCACATGTAACCACGCCAGCCCAGGAACTCCACATCCGGCTTCTTCACTTGTGGGTTCGTCTGAGACCAGCCACCCGGACAGCTGATGAAGCCATGGGTTTGCACAACCGAATAATTTCTGCACAAACTGTCAGAAACCATCTCAGGGAAGCTCATCTGCGTGCTCGTCGTCCTCAACAGGGTCTTGACCTGACTGCAGTTCGGCATCGTAACAGACTTCAGTGGGCAAATGCTCACTTTCGATGACCACTGTCACACTGGAGAAGTGTGCTCTTCATTGATGAATCCCGGTTTCAACTGATGGCAGACAGCATGTATGGCGTCATGTGGGCGAGCAGTTTGCTGATGTCAATGTTTGTGAACAGAGTGCCCCATGGTGGCGGTGGGGTTATGGTATGGGCAGGCATAAGATACGGACAACTAACACAATTGCATTTTATCGATGGCAATTTGAATGCACAGAGATACCGTAACGAGATCCTGAGGCCCATTGTGTCACGCCCTGGCTCTGGGGACTCTTATATGTTGAGCCAGGGTGTTAGTTTATATGTGTAGTGTCTATGTTTTGTTTTCTATGTGTTTTGTTCTAGTTTATGTGTTTCTATGTTGGCCGGGGTGGTTCCCAATCAGAGGCAGCTGTGGCTTGTTGTCTCTGATTGGGAACCATACTTAGGCAGCCTGTTTTGCACTTGTCATTTGTGGGATCTTGTTCCGTTTAGGTTTGTGTTTGTTAACCTTAAGACTTCACGTATCGTTTTGTTGTTTTGTAAATTGTTGTTTAAAGTACTCATTAAAAGATGTACGCATATCACGCTGCTCCTTGGTCCGTTGCTTACGACGATCGTGACACATTGTCATGCAATTCATCTGTCGCCATAACCTCACGTTTCAGCATGATAACGCACAGCCCCATGTTGCAAGGATCTGTGCACAATTCCTGGAAGCTGAAAATGTCCCACTTCTTCCATGGCCTGCATACTAACAAGACATGTCACCCATTGAGCATATTTGGGATGCTCTGGATCAGCGTGTACGACAGCGTGTTCCAGTTTTCAGCCAATATCCAGCAATTTCGCAGAGCCATTGAAGTGGAGTGGGACAACATTCCACAGGCGACAATCAACAGCCTGACCAACTCTATGCGAAGGAGATGTGTCACGCTGCATGAGGCATCTGTACATCTAAGTGCGATACGTTCTGCTTTGTTCTGGACCAACTGCAATTTACCTATGTCCTTCCACACAGCTGGGCAGTAGTCCAGGTGCGACTAGGGCCTGTAGGACCTGTCTGGTCTACTGAGATGTCAAGAAGGCAGAGCAATGCCCTATCACCTCTTCCCATTTTAGCAACCATTGAGTCTATATGTTTTGACCATGACAGCTTGGGTCAGTGGAAGGTCATTGTAAAAACAGAAAACAATAATGGCCCTAGCCGGCTGCCCTGCAGTACACCTGAATTTGCATGAGAGAGGCTTCCATTAACAAAAACTCTCTGTGTTCTATTAGATAGGTAACTTTCAATCCATAATAAGGCAGAGGATGCAAATCCATAACACCTACGTTTTTTTCAGCAATAGGTTATGATCAATGACATCAAGAGCTGCACTGAAGTCTAACAAAGGTATTATGACTCATACTGTGGTACTCAATAACGCACAGTATATCAGCACGGTAGAATTCAATGGCTATAGTTCATTCGTACATGTTCTATATTTAAGCTGCTTTTGAAAGCAAAAGTCAAATTCAAAACATTGGCATTGTTGAATTCGATTTTCATAATAGCAAGCTATGACTGATGGTTTGTTTAGCTAAACTAGCAAGTCTGTTTGTTTCCTTATCAAGGCAACTACTATCTCTATCTAAATATAGTAAACTTGCTAGCTACTTCAGTGGATGTTGAACACATTTTGCGAGGCAAATGAACAAATGTCTAGCAGCATATGTGTTAAATTATAGCCATGGTATAAAAGGGATAATCAACTCGTGGCTCTATGTGTTCTCTGGAAAATAATGCAACTCTGTGGAAGGTTAGTTCCACTCCGCTAGCCTCTTGTTGATTATCTCTTACGTAATGTACAGAACACGGTGTTTATACCTTACGTAATGTACAGAATGTCAGCGTTTATCCCTTACATGATTTTCTGTAATGTTCCACTTGTTGAACTTATTTTGGTCTAATTTACATATTTCAGTTCACTTTACTGCTGTAAACATTTCCCCAAACTCAAAAGATATGCACAACTCTCATGATTTTTATTATGTTAAGTGTTATTGCTGCCAACATGAATAGTTTGAAAGTATATTTACAAAATGAAATACGCCAATGGAATTATGAATGGCAGCATTGATCTATTGGCAATAGAGGAGGATTGGCAAGTTCACTAAACCCTAGTGTAAACCGGAGGGTATGGTAATATAGCCTGGTTAAACCAGATTGAACACTGCACTCACCATTCAGTCTGGTTCAACCAGGCAAATGGTAATACAGTATGGAAGCTTGCAAACAGGAATGTTGCTTAAGATTTCGGGTAGCTTTTGATGGATTTAGAGAAAGAGGTCTTCTGACCTCAATGAGACTTCCTGGTTAAATAAAGGTTAAGGGTCAAACTGGATGTCCTGCAGCCTGCTGAAGCGATGTCTGTTTAACTGGGAGAGACATGTAAATAAGTCCTTGCGGGTGATCTTATACTCCCGTATGGTCCCGTCAACATGGATGACCACAGGCCAGGCGTTCAGAAAGGTGTCCCCGTAAGCTTTATGCCACATCTTTTTGAGTGCGGACCCATTGCACCCTCACATGTTTTACGCACCAGCGAAGCTTCTGGGAGAGCCGAATGGTTCCCTTTTGATTAGGTGTCCCCGTCCGGCCATCTCAGCCCCAAGTGATGACAATGAAGCTACAGGAAAACAAACACACACACACTCAAACTGGTTTTACCACTTTAAATGTCAAAGACCCTCACCTGGCCTAAACAAAAACATTTCAATAATTTGAAGGTTACAATTTGTGAAAATAAATGAATAAATATCTAAAAGAAAAACAGGACACAATGTAAATTTGAGCAACACTCAAAAACAAAAAGGCAAAATTATGGGGGAAAGACTGGTTGTAGTCATACTGTTATATACCACGGTATAATAGGTAGTTCAGATGGGGTCTAGACTAGAGACCTTATACCTTCACCAGTGTGCCGTCATTACAGTGCCAGACAATCCCCTCCACACGGCCCTCCTGGCGGTCCTGGAACCAGGAACATAGCTGCTGGTAGTCCAGCAGGGGAGGGTTCCTGAAGCACACACTCCCACGGCCACCGCCACTTGGACTGGGTGCTTTTTACTTCCTATCCCCATCAGAAAACGACACACAAACAATTTATATTCTCTTGCTAAGGGGGCACTTTTAGAAGTGCAAGTGTGCATGTACAGTGTAGGACGTGGACTGTATGTCACATTTACCATATGGGTTCCCATTGACGTTGGTTCCAATGAGCTCCAGGGTTTGCTCCAGGAGATCAGCCAGTGGGACCATGGTGATCTCCAGCAGGTCTTAATTCTCAGCACTGGGCTTCAGAACCAGCACTACCCCAGCATCATAGTCCACTACCGATGAGTGACAACAGTACTGCTTGTTGTCTTTCTCCACTGGAACCCAACCTGAACCACAGGAGGTTGGTGGCACCTTAATTGGGGAGAACGGGCTTGTGGTAATGGCTGGAGCGGAATCAGTGGAATGGTATCAAATACATCAAACACATGGTTTACAGGTGTTTAATGCCATTCCATTTGCTCCGTTCCAGCTATTATTATGAGCTGTCCTCCCCTCAGCAGCCTCCACTGACGTGAACATAGAGATGAGTACCATCAGTATTATAAGTCCCATATAATGGGCATACAGTACTGTTTGTAAATACAAAATATTGTGAAGTGAGTGGCACATCAAGACAAGAAAATGTCTAGGGGTTGGTTTCCCAGACACAGAATATGCCTAGTCTTGGACGAATAAACCCATTTCAAAAAATAATCGGAGCGATTCCAGCGTTATGGACATTACATTTGAATGTGAAATCACAACTTTAATGTCTCACAGAATGGACAAACAAAATATAAATGAAACGTTTGATGTGTGTTTCTATAATACGCCTTGGGGGGAGTGTATACCCCCAAAAGCAAACTTCAAAATATTTGCATCTTGGAGAAATGAAGCATGGATGTTGAAGATGTAGGATCTTGATTTGAGCCAGTTTGCTACAGCAGGAAAATAATCCTTCAGCAACAGGAAATGTGAATTATTATGTGGATTATAATTAATTTTTGAAGGGGTTGATACATTTTTCAATAGGGCATTTTTCTATTAAAAACTCAAATACACTACATGTTTGCATTTCCTGCAGTGCAGGAATTCTCAGTAACAAAAGACTGATCAAATTAAAATCCTACATCTGTACATGAAGTGAACAAGCTTTTTGGGAAGACTGAACATATTAGCAAAAGTCTGTGAATTTGTAAGTCTTAGGTCACAACTTGGATAGCCTTTCAAATTCTGTATTTTCCATTTTTACATATTACACTCTTCGCTATGGATGTTACAGTCTGAAATAGACATCCAAATCTTAAAGATGTTTTTATTAAAACTTATAATAACACATTTGTTTTAAAAATGGCAGCAGAATGCATAGTACCTTAGGATTGCATTACTACAGGTAGCCTGAATAGTATACCAGGAAGACCTGGCACCACACCCTAATAAGGTATTTTTCTCTCTTTATATACAGTACCAGTCAAAAGTTTGGACACACCTACTCATTCAAGGGTTTTTCTTTAGATTTACTATTTTCTACATTGTAGAATAATAGTGAGGACATCAATACTATGAAATAACACAGCTCAAATACGCAAAGAGAAATGACAGTCCATCATTACTTTAAGACATGAAGGTTAGTAAATCCGGAAAATCTCAAGAACTTTGAAAGTGCAGTCGCAAAAACCATCAAGCGCTATGATGAAACTGGCTCTCATGAGGACCGCCACAGGAAAGGAAGACCCAGAGTTACCTCTGCTGCAGAGGATAAGTTCATTAGAGTTAACTGCACCTCAGATTACAGCCCAAATAAATGCTTCACAGAGTTCAAGTAACAGACACATCTCAACATCAACTGTTCAGAGGAGACGGCGTGAATTAGGCCTTCATGGTCGAATTGCTGCAAAGAAACCACTACTAAAGGACACCAATAAGAAGAGAGTGATGGAGTGCTGCATCAGATGACCTGGCCTCCACAATCCTCCGACCTCAACCAAATTGGGATGGTTTGGGATGAGTCGGACCGCAGAGTGAAGGAAAAGCAGCCAACAAGTGCTCAGCATATGTGGGAACTCCTTCAAGACTGTTGGAAAAGTATTCCAGGTGAAGCTCGTTGAGAGAATGCCAAGAGTGTGCAAAGCTGTCAACAAGGCAAAGGGTGGCTATTTGAAGAATTCAAATATAAAATATATTATGATTTGTTTAACACTTTTTTGGCTACTACATCATTCCATATGTGTTATTTCATAGATTTGATGTCTTCACTATTATCTTACAATGTAGAACATAGTAAAAATAAAGAAAAACCCTTGAATGAGTAGGTGTTCTAAAACTTTTGTGGCTGAGTCATCTTATTTGAATGACATTATTTCATATGATTTTAATACATTTTATTAACAAAGTATGCTCCATTAGAATAAAGTTTATTTACAGTACATGAAAGTACAGGAAGTAGGTTGACTTTATGTTAAAGGTGGCATTTTGGTGTGGAAATCTCCAGATCAGAAGATGAGACCATAACATTTATTACTCAAATAAAAGTTTTTTTATACTTCCTCTGTATGTGTGTTTTGTTTACCAGGAACAAGACGGCACATAGTGGCATGGTTTAGTGGTTTGATGAGTTACTGCGTTCATCAATGGTTTTCCTCTGTTGTCTTCTCAGTAGCTCACTGGATGTCATCATGGGGAGTGGAATTGGCAGGCCTGTCACATAATGTGTGAAAATGTCTTCCGAATCCGAAACATCCCTTGTTAATGTGTCCCATTCGTAAACCATTGTTTCCGATCTCAAACAATAACTGGACAACAAAGCCACAACATCTTCCTCAGCCAAGCCCCCATTTAACTTGAATGAAATAGCTCAGTTCAGAACCCCATTGCGTGAACACTTTGTAGACTGTATTCTTTGATGTGAGTGTCTTGGGACAGGTAGCCAATGTAGATCTAAATAGAAGGGAAGAGCTTCCAATCAGTAGGTCAAAGAGCAGAAGAGAGAAAACCCCTTGAGAATCAGTGAGGGAGTTATATTAACCTGAGCCATGGTGCACCGGTCAATGGTCCGTGATGTGAATGGGAAAAAGCGATGTCCTAATATTTATATATTTCTTAATTCCAGATTTAGATTTGTGTGTATTGTTGTGAATTGTTAGATACTACTGCACGGTTCGAGCTAGGAACACAAGCATTTCGCTACACCCGCAATAAAATCTGCTAAATATGTGTGTGTGACCAATAAAATTTGATTTTATTTAAATTTGAACAGCCCTGTCGATGTGGATGGGGGCGTGCTCGGCCCTCCGTTTCCTGTAGTCCATGATCAGCTCCTTTGTCTTGCTGATGTTGAGGGAGAGGTTCTTGTCCTGGCACCACACTGCCAGGTCTCTGACCTCCTCCCTGTAGGTGTAGCGAAATGCTTGTGTTCCTAGCTCCAACAGTGCAGTAGTATCTAACAATTCACAACAATACACACAAATCTAAAAGTAAGACAATGGAATTAAGAAATGTATAATTATTAGGACGAGCAATGTCGGAGTAGCATTGACTAAAATACAGTAAAATAGAATACAGTACATACATATGAAATGAGTAAAGCAGTATGGAAATATTATTAAAGTGACTAGTATTCCATTATTAAAGTGACCAGTGATTCCATGTCTATGTTCAGTGGGGAGAACAAGTATTTGATACACTGCCGATTTTGCAGGTTTTCCTACTTACAAAGCATGTAGAGGTCTGTAATTTTTATCATAGGTACACTTCAACTGTGAGAGACGGAATCTAAAACAAAAATCCAGAAAATCACATTGTATGATTTTTAAGTAATTAATTTGCATTTTATTGCATGACATAAGTATTTGATACATCAGAAAAGCAGAACTTAATATTTGGTACAGAAACCCTTGTTTGCAATTACAGCGATCATACGTTTCCTGTAGGTCTTGACCAATGAGCACCATTGTGAGAAGTGATAATCTTCTATTTGTAATAATATTAAGTGATGAGTAGGACTATTAGGTGTACAGGCGTCGGATCTTGTTGAGTGTTATTTTAAACAATTGGAGCGGCCTTTGAGGCTCTAAAAGGACAGCTTTGATTTGATTAGCTTGAGCACATGGTTACAATATACCCTATTACAGAATAAAATAAAACAGAGGGGTGAACTATCAATTCATATAATTTATTTGCATAGATTTAATCATCAAATCAATTCACCAAGTAGTGAACATAAATCATTACTTCGTAGAATTGCAGGAAATTCATTTTAAAACAGCCATAAAATCAAGTTTTTGGTGTGGTATCCATGCATCTCAATAAACTGTAACCTAAATGCATTATTACCTTCAACTTGGCCCAATTCACTTTTTCAATTTCCCACCCTGACATAGCCTACCAAGCTAGAACGGGCCCTGCGTCTCAACCAATCGCCAATATAACCAGGCTCTTGGGCTTTGCGGTGACCACTTTGGTTTGGGTTTCCTCAGTAGAACAGTGTCGCTGTAACCAAGTGGTCACATATCGTTCTGGGTTCCACTGCACAACAACAGGTCGGTGGAGTTCTATGAACATCAAGGCAGACACTGTGATTTATTTTTTTCAACGTTCTGAAGTTGTCAAGCCTCCAATGGGCCTCTGCAGTGCACACATGTAGCCAGAGAGAAGACAGGCAAGAAACCACCATTTACCTTGTAATTCAATCATTTTTTCATAACATTTTTGTGAATGGATCAGAATAAATGTTCCTTGTATTCTCAAATTGAAAAAAGTGAGGTCCCTTGGGCTCCCCCAGCACTACACACCTGCTTGCTTGTAAAGCGACCGCAGCTGCACTGCGCTATTTCATCGATAGAAAAGTTGATTGCAGATAAAAACGCAGCCCCCCCACCCCCAAACGACTTCCCGTGCCTATGCACATAGGCCTATCTCTCTGTCCGTTCTTAGCCTGTAATTTCAGCAATTTGTGTGGTATGAAAAAATATTCTGCTAATATGTAAAATTATGTGGTTCTCTGTAGCTCAATTGGTAGAGCATGGCGCTTGTAACGCCAGGGTAGTGGGTTCGATCCCCGGGACCACCCATACGTAAAAATGTATGCACACATGACTGTAAGTCGCTTTGGATAAAAGCGTCTGCTAAATGGCATATTATTATTATGTAGAATTGCATGACATTTTTATAAAAGGCTATTTTGTCTCCAACCTGCAAATACGATGATAGCTTCATGCAATATT